GCCAGCGGTTAGCATTAACACACACCTCACCGGGCCAGCAGTTAGTGCTAACACACACCTCACCGGGCCAGCGGCTAGCGCTAACACACACCTCACCGGGCCAGCGGTTAGTGCTAGCACACACCTCACCGGGCCAGCGGCTTCCCACCTACGCGTTGGCTACTTTCAAAGGACTGTCAGCTATCAGCTCTACTGACTGTCTTGTTCCACAGGATGCACTGGCTTCCAGGGCTGGCATCCTCAGCAGACACAGATCCTGGGCCAGTGAGGCGGCTCAGCTGGTATTGCTATTCTGAGGCCCTCAGTTTGCTCTCTAGGAGCTGACTCCCCAAAGCTGTCTTCTCACCTACATACAAACCACGGCATGAGCACGCTTCACAGATGCATACCATACACACAATAATGTTTCTCTTTAAAATCAAGAATATGCAAATCAAAATTCAGCCAAAACCTTCTATCTCGGTGTATGCTCCAACTCCATGTGGTACACAATTAAACTGTAAGGACCATGTGCTATTCATTCCACCTCAGGTTTAAGTGGGCATCGTGCACTCTGATGTGGCTTTGTTCTTCTCTGAGACATGGTTTCTCTCTGGAGCCTAGTCCAGCCTTGAGCTCTAGATCCTCCTGCCAAAGAGGAATCCACAGGTATTCACAACCACACCTGGCTCTGCTGGCTTCTGGTTGCAAAAATACTTCATTTAAAGAAGAAAAGGCAATCCAAGAAGTACAAGTCACAGGGACAAGGCCTTAGCTTGGGAGTCATCCCTTCTGGGACTCCAGACATGCCCACACCCGCAGGCCAGCTGGTCAGTCTCAAGCCCCAGCTCAGTGGAGACAAGAATTCTTTCCTTTCCTTTTTTCTTTAATTTTATTTTTTTAAATTTTACATTCACCAAGGCTGTTTCATTGGCTACCTATAACAAAGACTGGGAACTGGGAGACTTCCAGATATAAACGGAGTCAAATTTTAGGGCCGGTGAAAACAAGAACACAGAAGTTGCCCTTCTGAGCCAGATGCAGTCAAGTACACCCTGAACAACTAGAAGTGTGAGCATTTCATTAAATTTTCACCCAAATGGCCCTGCCTGAAAGGGGAGCTGCCTCGCCTCTGCACACATGGCTAAAGGTAGTTGACAGGAGGTAAGTGGCCCAATTAGCAACAAGAGGGATGGCTTTGGGGCCATCTGCGCTCCTAGCTGCAATGGCTTACGGGGAAGACTGCATCACACGCAGGTCTCATCTCTTTAGCCAGCCAGCTCCCTAAACGTTAAGAGCTTACCTTAACACGCTGGGCTTCTGGGATTTCCGAAGTATTTTGTAAGCCCCTAGATATGAAAGGACAGGAGTCATTGGCACTTTCTGTTTAAAGACACTTCCAGAAAAGCAGAAAAATCCACAGGGAAAAGGCAGCTGGGCCCCAGACCCCAAAAGAGTGCTGGCCCCTTTATCCCTATTTTGTTAATCCAAAGATGAGGAGAAAGACCACTGGCCCAAGTCATCATGGCCAAATTAATTAAAGCGGGCTGCCTCCCCCTCAGGAGGGGTTTGAGAGGTCAGTACTGGACATGAGGAAGACAAGTTTTTATAGCTCAGTGGTAGGGAGTTTCTAAATGGGGGATTTGGTGGGCAAAGTAGGCGGGGTTACAGGAGCAGAACATGAGAACAACAAGTTAGTCATAACACCTTCTGAGACAAGGACATAGTGCATGGGTGGTCATAACAACAGGTCCTCATAACAACCCTTTTGAAACAAAGGTAGGGTTGCAAGATGGTTAACTTTTTGAAACAAAGACATAGTTGCCATTCCTGGAACAGGCAGTACAGAACCTGTTGTAGTTAAGGTCACAAGTGGGGCGAAGCCCAGTGCTTGAGAAACAGAGGTTTGATCATAAACAGGAATGAGCCTAGTTGTCTTTACTAGAAGATGCTTTTAAGCCTATGATGGAGGCAGGTTGGTTCTTCAGTTTCACAAGGAAAGGCCCGGGAGGGGCGCTGGCCTTCTCCCTGTCTCACACCCTGACAGGGGGGAGCAAACAGGGGGACTTCGGCCTGCAAATCCCGAGATAACATCAGGCACTTCGGTCGCCGGCAGGAAGCACTTGGCCGGGAGTGACCAGGTGGTACTGTTAACAGCCAGTTTCATTTCCTTCCCATGATGCATGTGGAGAAGGGAAACCCTGAGGTTTCTGGGTATTTGAAGTAAAATCAGATTGTTTTTTAATTTCACATTTTGGTTTTTTTGTTTGCTACTGGAAGAATTTTAGACATGACATTCTGAATGTCTCTCAGGAAGCCTCTATGTCCAGAAATGAGCTCCAGGTGGACTATACAGAAGGATTAACAATGGTTTGGATAAAGCAGGCATTCTTTCCTAACCTTGTGAACAGGTTTTCCATCCCCAAAAGGAGCCCTTCCTTAACTCTGCATCGTCCGCCCGAGCCCAGCACTTTCTTTCCGCTACGCTCTACCTCCCGGTGTCTCTGCTGTTCTCTCCTGCTCTCCCGAGTCTCTAGCTCTGGCCATGTCCAGCCTGCTTTCCTTTCTCTCTGCTCTGGGCTCTCCCAGATGCCTCTGGATATTTTCTCTTCCTTGCCCACAATAAAAAGCTTGCCCCTGACGGAGCGGTCACATCAGTCGTTTCTTTACAGAGCACCTCGCATACATGGAGTCCACATTCTTATGGAAGAACAACTAACATTAAAAGCCAAACCCAAACCAAGCAGAGTTGGGCACAAAGAAGAAATTATGTTGAAAATGGAAATATCTGAGAAAAAGTCCAAAGTAGAAAAAAAATCTGGAAAATGTCCATTTAAACTTGAACCTTAATATCTTAATTTCCCTATTGCAGAGTCACTAAAAAATGGCTACACAGTGAGAGCTGAAGGATAGTCCTCAATTATTTAAGGAAAGCACTTTCAAAACTTACCTACACAAAATAAGTGAATTACAGCCCAAAAATAGCCATCTGGATCAAACTGTAACACAGAATTAAAAAGGAAAGGAAAAGCTAAATTACAGACAAACAGAAATTTGTACAGCAATCAGGAACCCGGTGAACACTCGAGCCAAAGGCTCCAGAGAACCTCTTCAGGGCCTAGAATCAGTTCATTTCCCCAGACATCTTCCTGGGTTCTCCAGTGTGCCCTCTGCCCTCCCCCAATGTGTTCAACTATAAACTCATGACATCCAAACACCTGTATGATTGCTGTGGTAAGGAATGGGATCTCTCTCTAGGTGGAAACATGCCATTGTCTCCTCCCTTAAGAGATAATCTGGATGCCGGGCGTTGGTGGCGCACGCCTTTAATCCCAGCACTCGGGAGGCAGAGGCAGGCGGATCTTTGTGAGTTCGAGGCCAGCCTGGGCTACCAAGTGAGTTCCAGGAAAAGGCGCAAAGCTACACAGAGAAACCCTGTCTCGAAAAACCAAAAAAAAAAAAAAAAAAAAAAAAAAAAGAGATAATCTGGTCGGGTGGGTCCAAGACCTGGCAGGGAACTATCCACAGAAATGCAGGACCACTCCAGGAAAGCCGGCTCGCCTTAAAACACGCTAAAGAGACAAATGGAATTAGTCTCCTTTTAACGAGATACTGACTTTACTTCCCAGAATTCTCATTCCCAGCACAGTCCCTACTGTAGTAATGGGGTTCAGCTGTGTCTACCTTTCTAACTCAGAAAGATGTTGTGGTGGTTTGAATGTAATTGGCCCCCATAAACTCACAGGGAGTGGCACTATTAGGAGGTGTGGCCTTGTTGGAGCAGGTGTGGCCTTAATGGAGGAGGTGTGTCACTGTGGGAGCGGGCTTTGAGTTCTCCTATGCTCAAGCTACTCCCAATGTCAGAGACCATTCCTGTCACCTGTAAAATGTCTGCCTACGCTCCGCCATGTCCCACCATAATGGACTGACCTCTGAACTGTAAGCGAGCCACCCTAATTAATGTTTTCCTTTTTAGAGTTGCTGTGGTCTTGGTGTCTCTTCACAGCAATAGAAACGCTAAGTAAGACAGATGCAAATTTTTTTCTTTTTCTATCTTTCTTCCAGATGCTGGCCAGAACCTACATATGCTTTTTCTGACACTTTGGGTTTCCTAATTCTTTCCTTAACACACTGCTCCTCCTCAACCATGGTGGCTGCCTGCCACCCTGTGGCTGACCTCCACACCAGCCAGCTTAACTTAAAAGACATGGCTCCCTGCCCCTCTTCTCTCCAGTATTCTCTCCAGCTGCTGAGATTTATAGCTTAACTCTAATAAAGTTGCCCTCCAGTTTCTGTTTGAGTTCACTCCTAATATTTTTATTAATAAGGCTAAAGATCCCAAAAGGAAACCCTGATTCCCCGAGTACCATCTGGTGACCACAAAGGGACTCCCCGAAACTCAGCAACTGGACAAGCACATCTTCAGTCACATTGACAGATTCCCAACCCGGAGAACAAGGACATTCTGCATTTTCCCAAGCCTGAATGCTTCCCCTTCAACTCGGCCAAGGAGACCCGTCCTCCCCCTATTTACTAATTTCCTTTGGCAACAGAACCCAGGGCATTCCACATGGTCGGCAAGCAGTCTCACTGCCCCACCTCTCCGACTCCTTTCCTCTTTACTGTTAGTCTCTACAGGACTTACCATCATCAAATACACTCGTTCCTTATTTTCCGCTTCTCTCTCTCTCTGCATGAGGCAGGGATCAGAACAGACTAGACACACTACAGGTCTGACATGACGGTAAATCCCAGAATAGCCACACCTCACCCCGAGTCGCCCTGCCTTCTCTCCTGTTACCCCCCTCATGTAGTTAAGCATGGTCAGGAGAGGCCTGCTCCAGCATCACAAAGCTCTGGATGAAATTCTAAAACACACACTTACGAGCTGATTTGGACCACACTAACTCTTTGATCATAAATAGGGCCCCTCAGCTCTTAGGTGCTTCCCAGCCTTAATGTCTCCCTGGCTCCCCATGTTATAATGATCTGTTGCCTTGGCCTGTTCCCTCTCCTTTGCTCTAAATAGCCTCCAATTTCTGCTGGAACAGACTAGTGTTTGTATTCCTGGATCCCAGCTCAGTGCCTGACACTTGGTAGAGTCTTGAGAATGCCAGGGGAGAAGGGAAGAAGGATAAGTAAGAAAGAAAAAACTAGCAATGAGATGATTACTAGGGCTGAAAGGGGCCCCTCAGTGCCTCAGAAGATAAACAGCCTGGGCACAGGATGCCAGTGGAACCCACCCTGCAGAAGAAGAAGTCTTAAAAAGGATGAGAAGAAAAATCAACTTTGATTGAGCACGCAAGGCTGGGGTGGCCAAGGTGTGGGATCACAGGTTCCTGAGGCAGGTCAGACTGCACACTTCCAGGAGCCACTGTCTAAGCCTGGAGAAATGATAGGCTGGGCCACGAGGTAGCCAGCCTCATCGCTTTTGAGCAACTTTGCTAGGCCAGGCTATCGTGGTTCAAAAAGAAAGGCACAGAAACACCGCACATCGACGTGAGCTGCGAGAGTCTTGACAGTACCGAGTTCGCTGGACTTACCTGCGCGTCCTGGAAGGGAAGGCACCCTGCAGCAGCCACGAGGAAGAGGAAACTGTGGACAGGCAGACAGAAAGGCAACTTCAGCTTTCAACACCAAAGCACATCTCAGAGAGGGGGTCGGGGGAGGGTAGAAACGCGCCGGCCACTGGAATTTACAAGTGGCCAAGCGACTCTAAAGCACCGGCTGCCCTGGCCATCATCTCACAGCGATGAGCTCCGCTGACAGCCAGGCAGTTCCCTCTCAGCTAGCCTGTTCCTGAAGCCCAGAACTCAGAGCACCTGAAAACCAGGGTTGGCCCACTCCAAAAATCTTCCTGCTCACCATCAATCCCCCAGATGGGAAAGAGGCAAACTGGGAGATCAGACCACAACCACGCCAAAGACTAAATGAACGCAGCACAGAAAGAACATGGGTTGTCCACCGCCACTTTGTCTAAGATCTCAGTATCTCTAATAACAGGGCACAGCTGTCACGTGCTTCTTGATAAGATGCCCGCAGGACACAGCATCGAATCTGTGGTACCTCTCTGTCTTAGGTGCTTTGAACTGAGTCATGAGGAAATAACACAATAAACCCAAATTCAGTCCACAAACAACAGGCTGGGACCTTCACAAACATGGAGACCCAAAGGCCTTGTCACCAAGCCTGATGACCTCAGTTTAATTCCTGGTCCACACATGTGGAAGGAGAGAACTCACCCCAGTAAGTTGTCCTTTGACCTCCACTTATCACACACGCTGTGGCACAAGCACCTGTGTGCACAACACACACACACACACACACACACACACACACACACACACACACACACTAAGTAGCTGTAGTTTTAAAAGCATTTAATGGGAAGGCAAATTTAAAAAAAAAAAAAACAAAACAAAACAAAGAGAAAGGCTGAGGAACTGACCAAGATTAATGGCTACGCAAGACACACGCCTTCCTGGAGGAACTGAATATATGCTGTTCCCATTGGTTAATAAATAAGCCGCTTTGGCCTACGGCAAGGCAGCTTAGAGGCAGGCGGGAAATCCGAGGAGAGAGACAGGAAGGAGAAAGATGGAGTCTGGGGAGATGCCCGCACTGCCAGGAGAGAGACGGCAGCCTGCTGCCCAAGGAACAACATGCCAGCAGACCTGTAAGCCACGGAAGACATGGCAAAACATAGATTAATAGAAATGGGTTAATTTAAGATTTAAGAGCTAGCCAGCAAGAGGCCATACAGTCTGTAAATAACATTAAGCCTCTGAGTGATTATTTTATAAGCGGCTGTGGGATCGCGGGCTGGGTGGGACCAGAGAAAATTTCCAGCTACATAACACGTTGAGTTATACCAGCCCTGGTTTTACTATTTATCATAAGAGAGGATCTCACAACCTTGCCAAGCTGACTTTGAACTTGCAATTCTCGTGCCTCAGCCTTCTGAGAAGCTGGCATTACGGGGTTTTCTGTGCCACCATACCTGGCTTTCAGGAGATTTTTACATATGGCATTATAAGGCATCATATGCCAATATGTTATAATGTATGGAATTCTATATTCTATAGATATAGATCACATGCATACAGACATGTCCAAACACACACACACACACACACACCATGTAATATACAACACCCTGAGAGTCACAGCCTCAGTACACTGGAAACAGTGATGCTGTAACATGTGGCTGTGGGCTGACTGTACCCAGACTTGCTGTTAGGGCCCTAGGCAGGAGGTGCTGAGGCCCCTCATGGCCAGGCCCTACCTTTGGGAAGGTCAGAACACAGGCCAGCCTGTGCCCAGAAGCCTCTGCACTCAGTCCACCCTCCTCTGACAGCCATGGTGACTTTATTGTGTCCTAGAGGACAATGAAGGCAGAGAGGGATGAGCAGGGGTCACTGTGAGGAGCTTCCTGGGCTGCACAGGCTGGTTTTAGTGAGGAGGAGATTATGGATGGGCTCGGGGGCTCCATCGAGTGGAAGGCCAGCTAGAATTTACGATGCCTCCCCACGCAGGGTGAGACTGGACTGGCTGCCACAGCACGTGCCCTCCAGCCACACTGACTACTGGGGTAGCCACTAACAGAGCACTAAGCTTTCCACAGCAGCTGACCTTTTAAAGAGGAGGGTGGGGCTAAGGCTTTGTTTACATCTTTTTCTTTCAAGTTGCAACCTGTACTAAAGGCCAAAGAAGATGAGGGGACTGGATGGGATGAAAGCCCAGAAATACATCACAACACCTAGCCCGCCTTATCAAAGCAGCTCCATTGGTGTCCTGCCTTCAGCAGGGGGTTCTTAGTCACTGCTGAGGGAGGGGCCAGCCCAGCAGCTCAACACTGTTACAACAAGGACATGGAGGTCCAGGGACCTGGGACGTACTCTGCTGAGGACACTGAGGCATGGCATTTTCAAACCTGTCTATGATCACAGCTCAGACCACAATTCAGACCCTGGGATGCACTTTTATTATTATGGAAAGTCACAGAGATCCAGTGTGCTGGCTAGTTTATGTCAGCTTTAAACAAGCTAGAGTCATCTGAAAGGAGGGAACCTCAGTTGAGAGAATGCCTCCATAAGCTCAAGTAACAGCTCTGGCTGTCCTGGAACTCACTTTGTAGATCCATCTGCCTATGCCTCCTGAGTGCTGGAATTAAGGCATTTGGTAAGACATTTTCTTAATTAGTGATTGATGGGGGAGGGCCCAGCCCACTGTAGGTGGTGCCATCCCTGGGCTGGTGGTCCTGGATTCTGTAAGAAAGCAGGCTGAGCAAGCCATGAGGAGCAAGCCAGTAAGCAGCAGCCCTCCATGGCCTCTGCATCAGTTCCTGCCTCCCGGTTCCTGCCCTGCTTGAGTTCCTGTCCTGACTTCCTTTGATGATGAACTGTGATGTGGAAGAGTAAGCTGAAGAAACATTTCCTTCCCAAGTTACTTTGGCCATGGTGTTTCATACAGCAATAGAAACCCTAACTTAGACACCCAATGATGCAAATATTATTTTATGTGTGCGCACACAGAGATTCATGGGGGAGGAGGTGCACATGGGGGAGGAGGTGCACATGCATGTTCTGGCTAGTGTTCATGCCTCAGGAATGATCACTTTGTTGGTTTTTTTTAATTTATTTTATTCATATGAGTGCTTTGCCTGCACGTATGTTTATGCAATAGATGCATGCCTGGTGCCTGAGGAAGTGGTCTCTATGTACGTGCTGGGAATTGAACCCAGGTCCTTCACAAGTGCTGACAAGTGCTCTTAACCACTGAGACAACTCTCAAGCTCAGATCCACTACATTTTGTGAAACAGGGTCTCAAAACCATGTCTTCTCCATTGTATCAACCTGGAATTGCAAGCATCTGCCCCCCCCCAACTGGGCTTTTCCAGGGGGAGCTGGGGATTGAACAAGGGCATCATGCTCGTGTGCTAAGCACTATTAACTGAGCCATCCCACCACCACCCCTGTTTTGTTTTGTTTTTTTCCATTTTAAGTTGTTTCCACATTTTTCATTTGGTTCTCCATCACTACTACTGCACAGTTAGTGAGGTTTTGTGGACTCAGTGTAGAAATAGAATATGGGTTGTTTCTTCCCCTCAGAAGAAAATATTGCACCCCGTTAATCCCAGCACTCAAGAGGCAGAGGCTGGCAGATCTCTCAGTTCGAGGCCAGCCTGGTCTACAGAGTGAGTTCTGGGACAGCCAGGGCTACACAAGAAACCCTGTCTCCAAACAAGAAAATATTGCAAAATGAGAATAATTTTAAAAATAGGAAACAAAACACAAATATACGACCATTCATAATAAATTCCTCCTTCAACAGGTTACCAGCTAAGTTAAACCCAGGTCAAATCGTACATCCTCAGGGTGTTTTCTTTTAACTTACCTACAGATCTTTGTGGGCGATGTTTTCTGTATGAAAGTGAAAAGACATAATTAGTCTTTCAAAACTCTTTAATTCCCTTGAAAAAACATTTAGATTAAAAAGCAAATAAATTATTAAGTCAAATTTTTAGGGGGCTTAAGAGCTCACTGCCAGAGGCTGGAGAGATGGTTCAGCAGTTAAGAGCTCTGGCTACTCTCCCAAAGATCCTGCGTTCAATTCCCAGCACCCATGTGGCGGCTTATAACTACCTATAACTGTAATTCCATGGCATCTGATGTCCTTTTCTGGGGGACGTGTATGCAGACAAAACTCCCACGTGCATGAAATAGATAAACAAATCAACCTTTTTCTGTTTACAGAGGGCTTGCCGCCATAGCGGTCCTGCCGCCTCCTGCCACTTGGACCAAAGAATGACCTGGGCCGCAGCATTTGCTTATGAACAAGATGGTGTCGGTGCCAATTTTCAAATCTTACACACCCATCCAAGGACACAGAGAGAAGTCAATGTGATCTACATGGGAAAGGAAACTAACCTCTAGTTCAACTTCTAGCCTCTATGTATGTATTCATTTATTTACTGATTTTTAAAAAATACTTATTTACTATTTAAGTGTCTGTGTGTCTGTGTGACTTTACATGCACCATATACATGCAGATGCCCACAAAAGCCAGAAGAGGGCATCAGATCTCCTAGAACTGGAGCTGCAAGGTGATTGTAAGACACTCAGTGTGGGAACCGAACCCAGGTCCTCTGCAAAGGTAACAGGTGATCTAAACCTCTAAGCCATATCTCCAGTCCCTTATTTAATGATTGTGGGGAGGGGATTGGTCTTGCCATGTTTCCCAGACTGTACTTGAACTCCTAAACTCAAGTGATCCTCCTGCCTCAGTCTCTTGTATAACTACAGGCAAGTGATCCTCCTGCCTCAGTCTCTTGCGTAACTACAGGCATGCATCATTGTACATAACTACACCTGTGTCTCTCTAAATACCCCTTTCATTCATCCAGCTCTGACTCTTAGCAATGTTATTCATGTTCTGGTCTATAAAAGGTAAACAGAAGCCAGGCAGCGGTGGTGCACGCCTTTAATCCCAGCACTCGGGAGGCAGAGCCAGGTGGATCTCTGCGAGTTTGAGGCCAGCCTGGGCTATAGAGCGATATATATATATATCGCTGAAGCCAGGCACAGTGACACACACCCATCATCCCAGCCCTCCAGGGCCCAAGGCAGGAGAATAATGAGTCCAAGGCCAATGTTGGCTACAGAGTAAGTTCCAGGCTAGCCAGTTCCAGGGCAGTGAGAGAGCCTATCTCAGAGAGAGGACAAAAGAAACATGTGGTCTGCTCTCCAGGATACCTTAAGTTTTCACATGTTGAAAAATAATCAAGTTTTAGTTCTTTTAATAAGCAGCTTCTATGGAGTCCAGAGCTGTCTCTTTGGGATCTTCTGAACATGGGAAACAAGGCACTCATGGCTGTGCTGCCCCCTAGTGGGCAGAGTGCCTGTGCTCCTAAGACCTGCATCCTCGCCCGTTACTGTAAAATGTGCTGTCTTTCAAGCTGTGTTAGAAGCTCAATATAGTGGAACCCTCACAAGTGTGGCTAAAAGCAAGCACAAGGGCAGAGCTTGTGGGCCCGGCTCCCTTCGCTCTGAATAACATGTCTACCCAGCAACCGCTACAGGGCCCACGGCACAGAACAGTGCAGCTACCCAGTCCCTAAGAGTTCAGCCTCTCAGGGCAGTCCTTCTTAATGAAATTTATTTTTTTCATTTATCTATTCTGGGTTTTGTTTTGTTTGGCACAGAGTCTCATGCACCCCAGGCTGGCCTTCAACTCACTCACCTTCCAGTGCTAGCCTTCAGGAGTGCACCACCACACCCAGGTATTTTATTTTCATGAGACATACGCTGTATCTCAGGCTGGCCTGGAACTCACTATGTAGCTCAAGCTGGTCTTGAACTCAAAATAATTCCCCTGCCTCAGCCTCCTTAGAACTTGGAATACAGGTATAAGCTACCATGTCCAGATCTTTCTAAAATTTTAAACCCTTTCAGACGGACTAAAGAAGCTGAGAGACAGAGTGAGAACACGATAAAAGCTCCTTACACAGCTCCGTTCCCCAGGGCTCTAGGACAACCAGGACCTTACTGTGTGGCATTCTCATTTCCAGACTTTGCTCCAGAAATAAGCCCTCCCAATAATATCTCAGAGTCTGGGGTTGCAAAAAGCAACCCCTCAGAAGTCGTATTTCTGGCTGAGTGTGGCACAGGCCTGTAATCCCGGCCCTTGACTGACACAGGAGGCCTGCAAGGTCAAGGCCAGAACTCCACAGTGAGAGAGAAAGACTCACCTGACAACAATTACAGTAAGGGCTAAAATCGCTCTGGATGAGCTGATTTCCTGCAAACACTGCTCAGTGTGTGCTGGGCTTTGCCTGCATTGTCTGGTGTAACCATGGGTCACCAGCCAAGACATGAAGGAAATCAGGGAAGAGGTTGTCCAAGGTCTTGGGGGTTTGGGCTCAGCATTCTGGTTCCACACCTGACCCTTTAGTGCCACAGCCTGCCTGCCAGTCCTTCAGTGACCTTAAGCCACCTGAAGTGTCCTTTCTTCTCTTGTTCAATAGAAACCCCACCCATCCCATGTAGCTCAACTCCAACCTAGCCCTGGAGAGGCCTCCCTGTGGTCACTGGTCCCCGCACCTAGCTGCAGCCCACATATGATCCTACAGGCACCACAGACCACATATTAACGTCAGCTCTTCCCTACTCAGCTGCGAGCTCCACAAGGGTCATGAGCGCCCTTTCCCGGTCTCAGCGTAGGCCTGGCAGACTGCTATTCAGGATAAACCACACACACTGAAACAAACCGACAGTGGCAGGGTTCTAACACATACAGGCCGTGAGGCTAATCCCACAAGCCACCGTTACCTTAGAGTCAGACTCTGCGTGGGATGGGGGAGGGCAGCAGAGAGAACATATGGAACTCACTGTGGGTGGTGCAACGTGAACTGCGGCCTCTACATCAAGTTAACTCTCATAATCGGAGTCAATTTTACGCTCTATAATTTATAAATTTATACATAATGGTGATTTTGTATTGCTATACATAAAATTTACACATAATAGTAAAGTTTATATATAATGGTAAAGCCAAGTCTCATAACTTTTAACATTTATTTATTATGTATACAGTGTTCTGTCTGCCAGAAGAGAGCACCAGACCTCATTACAGATGGTTGTGAGCCACCATGTGGTTGCTGGGAACTGAACTCAGGATCTCTAGAAGAGCAGCCAGCAGCCAATTCTCTTAACCTCTGAGCCATCCCCCAGCTTTTGACATTTATTATTAGTCGTGGGGGTGGGGTGCGCATCAGCAGTCAGTTCTCTTCTCCACCACGTGGGTTCCAGGAATCAAACCGGGTTGTACAGCTTGAAGGCAAGTCCCTTACCCAGTGACCCTTACTCACTGGCCCTCGCTGTGACATCTGAGCCTGTGTGAGGGAGAGAGCAACTGTGTTCCTCATGAAAATATACACCCCCAGGTTCTCAGCTCTAGGTCTGAGATGTGAGTTATATTAAGAACATATCCCACATCAAGGAGGTAGAATTTGAGGTTCCAGGCTAGCCTGGGCTACAGAGTGAGACTTTGTCTCAAGAGTACCAGATGTGCTGGTACAGACCTGGAGTCCCTGAACTGTGGAAACAGAAGCACAAGGCTCAAGAGTACAAGGCCTAGTGCTTAGGAGGCAGAGGCAGGAAGATCTCTGTGGTCCAAGGCCAGCATTGGTCTACATAGTGAGTTCCAGACTAGCCAGGGCTACAAAGTGAGGCCCTGATTTAAAAAAAAAAAAAAATCAACAAAAATGAACAAACAGAAACCTAGACATCTTCATCTCAGAAAAGATTTTAATGACAAGCTGCTAGAAAAACCACCTACATGTGAGCAAACAGACTGGCCACACGCTTCATCCAACACAAACAGCAATAGCAGTAGGGTGCCTGAGACTTGTTCAATGAAAAGGCCATGTGTCAGTATGTCTATATACATGCAAAGAAAATGTCTGTAAAAATACAGGTTTTTCTCGAGTTTTTTCCTTTGCATTTTTCTAAAGCTACTTATATATCGTATTACATTCACTATGGAGAGAGGTTGTTTTGGATTTTCTTGAGACAGGGTCTCACATATCCCTATACAGCCAAGTATGACCTTGAACTTCTGATCCACTTGACAACTGCGAGGATTATAGGCTCATGTGACCACACCCAGGGCTTCACACGAGCTCGGTAAGGACACCTAAGGACACCGCCAGCTGAGCTATGTCCCCGGACAACGGTGTTCTTGAATGACTAAATTCTCACCCCCTTGCTTGCTTCCCAATTTACTCCGACAAGACCTGAGGTTAGCTAGGTGCACACACACCTAAGGTCGTCCTCAGTTATACAGTGAGTTAAGGTTTGAAGTAGCCTGGGCTACATGATACCCCGTCTCAAGGGGAAAGAAAGAAATGAGCTGTTGGCTTGTGTGACTAATGAAATGGAGTTGAAGACTAAACATTTCGTGTTCACTAGTTACCGTCACTAACCCTTCCAGCCAGAAGTCTGGTCCTAATTTGCAAGTAAAGAAGCGTCTCCTGGTGGACAGAAAACTCCAGGTTACTCTCTCACCTGACTTGATTCTGACCCCTGACCAACTAGGAGGCAGAACTGTGAGAGTGCTAGTCTTCATTTCTAAACTCACGGCTAAAAGTGTGGGTGGTGTGAGTCAGCCCCCCTAAATCTGAGCAGCTGCACTTGAATCTCAGAGGAGAAAGTGACTAACCAGAAGCCCCGGGGCTTGCTCCTGGGGTTACAAAGATGTTCATCACGCGGCTCTGCTCTAGGGGAAGGGGAGTCAAAGGAAGCCAGCTAGGGATACAGAGAAAATAATGTCCTGTCACCAAACATGAGAGAGAGAGAGAGAGAGAGAGAGAGAGAGAGAGAGAGAGAGAGATTGGTAATTCCATTTTATAATTCTATAATTCTAGCACTCCAGAGTCTGAGGCAGGAGTATTTGCAGCCAGCCTGTGGATGATGAAACCCTGTCTCAGCAACAACAAAAGGTCCATATAAAGTTTCACCTTATTCTACGTATTCAAAGAAAGTCACACCAAAGTCCATCCGATTATAAGAGCCTCTAATTCTAGGTGGTGAGAATGGGGTGCTGGGGGGAGAGGGAGCGTGAGAACTGAGGTGATAATGGAAATCACACGGCGATGTCAGAGAGGTATCCCCCTCTGAGCCCAAGGAGAAAAGCTGAAAATGAGAAGAGGCGGTCACCCCTCTTCTACTCTGGGACAGCCTCAGAAAAACCAACACAGGCCCTGCCTGGCTGTCCTGGGAACCTGCACATTGAGTTCCCACTCACTAGTCCTCAGCCAGCTACACGGGACAGAGCCAAGGACCTATGAGTGGCCACAGCAGGGGGTGAGAGGGGACAGGATGTGGGCGGAAGAAGACGGGGTCCCGAGGTTTGAACTCAGATGGTGATTCCCCAGTGAGAGTCAGGTCTGGGGAAACAGATGACGGCTTTGTACTTCCCATGCTTTGGGGCCACCCAGAGGCTCTGAGCCCAAGGAGAGAGCAGGGCTGGAGTAGACAGAAGGTGAAGGGGGCAGAGGTGTGGGGATCCTGAGACACTGCCCTGGCACACCATGCAAAAGCAGATGAAGGATAAAGAGGCCAGGTTGTGAGAGGAAAGACTGAGACTCAAAAGAGAATGGGGGGGGGGGCATCAAGGCCAGGGGGTCAAGAGAGTCCAGAAAAGCAAACAGGTTGACAAATAGCACACACGACCAATGAAGAGTGGACTGGCCAGTGGCCTCCGACCTCAGGACTCTAGCCAGAGCAATGTCTGGGTAGGGTGAAGCGGGAGCAGCGGAAAAGTGAGGGGACAAGAAATCCTGGAAAACGCTGGGTCTCACTGTCACTAAGGCCCGTGGCCAGGAAGAGATGGGTAAGAAGGGCAGAGCTGGAGTGGGACAAAGGAGCTTGTCAAGCTTCTTGCTCGGGTTAGTGTTATGATGTCACTTCTAGGGCCGGGTCAATGTACGCTGGTCTGCCTGGGCTGACCCCACCTCGTGGATATGGGACTCGAGCGCTTCATGAATAAGTACTAAGTGTGTTCAGAGGTGGGGAACAAGCTGGTAAAGTGAAGAGGCTGGTGACATTAGGCAGAGCAGGGGGGTGACTGGGAGACTGGGTATGGCATGGACACCTCTCTCTCTCAAGCACGTGTCTCAAGTAGCCAGCTAGCTTCTCTGCAGTTCAGAAGTTCAAAATGTGATAGGAAACCAAATGAACAGATGTCAGAAGAAAAGAAACTCCCGAAAGAGGGACCAGATTAAAGTTACCACTGTCACTATAAATAATCACAGGGTACCCACTATGCACTGCCAAGGGAAGGAAGCATTTAACCCTTCCATGTGTCCTCCCTATGATCCACTGAGTGTCACTGGTGTCGCCCCTTCACAGACAGAAGCCCCAAAGTGACGGACCTATTTCAGGGGTTCCTGTTAGAGCAGACAAAACACTGGGGAGCTGAGAGGAAGCTTAAAACTTTCAAATGTTAACATTTCAGCAGGCAATCGCCAACTTCCATTGTTTAGTTATAAAATGAAGCAGGAGGCAGGCGAGATGGCTCAGCAGCTAAAGGCACTTACCATGCAGGTCTGACAAGCCGGGTTCAATCCCCAGGACCAACAGAAATGTGGAAGGACAGGACCAAGTCTACAAGGTTGTCCTCTGATCTTCAAGTGTGCGGATCCCCCCCCACACACACACACACCAGAAAAGGTTGAGGGGTTGTAGCTCAGTGGTAGCGTGCTTGGATAGCATGCTTGGATAGCATGCATGAAGCCCTGGGTTCAGTCCCCAGTACCACAAACATGGGATACAGTGGAACACATGTATAACCCTTAGCTACATAGCAAGTTACAGGCTAGCCTGAGGTACATGAGTCTCACAGGAAGGGCATCTTGGGTCCTCAAATGACCACGGAGCCAAAGTGTAAAGTGATTACAAATACCCTTAGCTCTATCTCCATGACCCAAAGCTAACGAAGCCAAACTCACAGCGACAAACAGTTAGCCATCTCCTAGCTCAAATACCTGTCCTGAGTTTGGGGCTGCAGGGGGCAACCTTCAGACTGCAGGGTAAACCAACAGTAATGACTCGATTGGCCTGAGGAGGTAAACTGTGATTTCTGAGGGCTCACTCACGTCATGGGGCAGAATGGACCTCCCACTCCCTCGCCAGTAAAAGCCTCAGTGGGCAAAGGCTCAGTGGGACCGCTCCTCGTCCTTCTCCCCGGTCCTCCCACACTGCCTCTCTTGTAGCTTCCCTAACCGTCTCTCTTCATCGCCGCTTGCTTCCTCTGGTCCTCGAGTCTCTGTCTGGGAAGATGCTCCAAAAAGGCAGCCCTGCCTGTAGCCCCACTCATTCAAAGACTCGGGGGTTTTCTAGTTCTTTAGTAACAGTGTCAGATAGGGTTAGGACTGGAGGGAAAGCCAGTCTCCCCGAGTGGGCAAAGGGCCAGCACCCTGTATGAACTCAGTTGTGCGCTTCCTTGTGCTGTTGAGACTAGCCACACGTGGGAATGGCTTCCCACGGCAAACTCCTCTTCGTTTCCTGAGGGTCTGGTTCCTCTCTGGCCTGGAGTCCAGGTGCGTTTCCCATCATCAAGCAAGCTGGGTCCCCTGAATCAGTGACCACTGCCTGGCAGTCTTGACTGGAACTAGTGGAACATTTGGGCCACGTGCTGGCTGGTTTTATGTCAACTTAACCCAAGCTAGTCATCTAAAAGGAGGGAAACTCAATTGAGAAAAAGCCTCCACAAGATCGGGCTACAGGAGAGCCTATAGGCATTTTCTTAATTAGTGATTGATGTGGGAGGGCCCAGCCCACTCTGGGTGGAGCCATCCCTGGGCTGGCAGTCCTGGGTTCTATTAGAAAGCAGGCTGAGTAAGTCCGGGAGGGAAGCCAGTGAGCAGCACTCTTCCATGGCCTCTGCATCAGCTCCTGCCTCCTGGTTCCTGCCCTCACTACTGCTGAGATGAGCTGCTAACTGGAATGGGAATGAAACAAGCCCTTTCCTCCTCAGTGGCTTTTGCTGTTTCTTCACGGCAATAGTAACCCATCTAGGACAGGTCACTGAGTGAAAAGCAGGCCTCTGACATTTCAAATAAGGGCTGGGAAGCTAGCATTTCTCTTGATCATTTACCTCTTTCCAGACATACTTCTGGTACCCGCAGACGAGAACTTCAGCTACATTATGCAAAATGAAAAACACAGGAACAGCCTGAAAGCAGAGAAACAAGCATGAGAATACACTCTCCCATCTTTCAGCTACTTGACTTTTGTTTAAAAATAAGATGTGTGGGAACATGAAGCATTCAGTCTCTCCAGCAAAGACTCTTCTAGACCAGCACTTTGCTGAAGTGTTCTTCATGTTTCCTCCCAGATTTACTTACTTATTCTCTCTGAGTACTTTCTCCACAAGCACGTCTGTGTGCCATGTGCATGAAATGCCAATGGAGGCCCCAAGAAGGCATCAGACTCAAACTGGAGGTACAGATGCTGGAAGCCACGATGTGGGCACTCAGAACTGAACGTGGGTTCTCTGCAGGAGCGGCGGGCGCTCTTAACATTTGAGTTGTCTCTCTAGCCCTTCAAGTATTAGTTTTGGTGGGGTGTATGTCAAGGTTCCTCTCCTACAGGTTCTTCACCACAGTCGTAAGCACCTCCTGTGCATGCTGCACTGTACCAGGTGCAGGGCACAACCCCCACCAGCATGGCAGACACACTGTAGAGAGCCTGTCCCCAGCACGCAGGAGGTCAGGTGGGGTATACTGCAAGACGCAGCTAGCCCAGCATGGGAAGAGCGGGCCTTCATGGTGGAGATGAAGTCTGAGAGTTGAGTGCTTAAAAATTAAAACACAGAGGAAGTGGGCAGCTTTATCGTGTGACGGGGTGAGCAGGAGGTGATCGAGCTAAGAAATTTTAAATGGTCTTTTTGACTAGTTGACAAAAAAGAAGCCAACAATGGCTGCTGGATTCTTGACTATGAATCCAGAGATGAGATTAGGTTTGGGGTTGAGAAATTAGAACTTTAGAGCTGAACTAAGGACCTGGAATAGGCTTAATTCTCTGGTTACAAACTGTGGGCAGTTGTCTCCGTCTCCCTTGGCCTGACTGAGCAGCAGCTGGAAAAGGACCCGTCTGGAGACATAAGGCTGATCCAGGCACACAAATAACAGCTCAGTAGCATGTAAATAATGTCACATGATTGGCCACAGCTTTTTTGTCTTGGAGGCAGGGTCTTGCTATAGTCCAGGCTGGCCTTGAACTCTACGTCATCTTCTCAGCACGCACTCCAGCACCCAGTGAGCTGTTTACTGTGTACTGTTTCTTACAGCTCTTCGGAAGTCTGTGAGCAGAGGGGCCATAGCTATAATTCTCAGCTACGGCAAAGACACTGGGACGTCTGGGCAAGTCGCTCCGGAATGACATCTAAACCACAACAGGTGCCCAGTGAGCCTGCAGCTGTCCAAGTCCAGCAGGACCAGTCTGAACCAAATCCTGGCAGCTAGCTAGAGGTACGGCTTATCCTTGTGCTTAGGAAGCTAAGGCAAGAGGATCAACTGCTAGTTCAAGGCCAGCCTGGGTGACAGAGTGAGTCCCAGGCAAGCCTGGGCTACAGAGTGAGATGCTGTGAAAAACACAAAGCAAATCCTGGCAGCGTCAAACTGCTGAGCTCTGAAATGGGTGGACTCTAACCAAGCTATGCTGTTCAGAAGGGGTATCGTTGATCTGTCTTAAATTTAAATCTAAGTTTCTCAAGCCATTTTTCCTACTGAAAAGCTAACAAAACTAGAGACAGCTAGTCTACAGCTCACCAGTTAGCCTATGTCCCCTGGGTAGAGATCTACCAAACGCGGCATTAAGACATCCTGTCGCTTTGCTGATCCTTCCCTGGCCTCTACCTGCAAAAGCCTCACTCTGCACTATGCTGCACTGGCTCAGGAGGCTCGCTGGTGACTGGTGCTCTGGGGACACCTGTGCATTCATTATTTCCTCCACTGCTGTGACCCAACGCTTGACAAAAAGGAACCTGAGGGTTGATCCTGGCTCACAGTGTGAGGGGAGCCTGCCCATCACAACTGACTGACAGGAACCTGAGAGAGCAAGGGTTGATTCTGGCTCAGAGCAAGGGTTGATTCTGGCTCACAGAGTGAGAGGAGCCCGCCCATCATGGCTGACTGACAGGAACTTAGAGAGCAAGGGTTGATTCTGGCTCACAGTGTGTGGGGAGCCCGCCCATCACGACTGACTGACAGGAACCTGAGAGAGCAAGGGTTGATTCTGGCTCACAGTGTGTGGGGAGCCCGCCCATCATGACTGATTGACAGGAAGGAAGGTGTGTAGCACCATCACCATGATGCAGCTGGCCACACTGCCTCCACAGTCTGTCTTAGTGACTGTTCTATTACCACGATAAGACACCATGACCACACAACGTACAATAAAAAGGGCTTGCTTACTGCTGCTTGTTTCTGCTCTTTTGGGAGGTCAGCCACCCAGCTCACAGTAACACAGCTTCACAGAGTTAAACAAATGCAACATAAACAAAAGTAACACACCTTAAAATACTCTAATACAGTCTACATTTTCAGAAGGTTGGAGTCATGACCATCATGGCAGGGAACATGGCAGCAGGAAGGCAGGCGTGGAGATGAAGCAGCCGCCGAGAGCTCACATCTTGAGGCAACAACCGTGAGGCAGAAGCAGGAATAACATGGGCTTCTGAAACCCTACAGCCACCCACTCCAGTGACACACCTCCTCCAACAAGGCCACACCTCCTCCAACAAGGCCACACCTCCTCCAACAAGGCCACACCTCCTAGTCCTTCCCAAACACTTCCACCAACTGGGGCCTGATCATTCAACCATACAAGACTATTGGGGCCATTCTCATTCAGACCAACACAGTCAACAAAGACCCACCCCAGTGACCCACTTCCTTTAGCAAAGATCCACTTCCTAAAGGTTCTACAGCCTTCAAATACAGTGGCACCAGCTAGGGACCAAAAGTGTTTAGACACATGAGTCTATAGAGGACATTCCACGTCCAAACCAAAACACTGCCCATTATCACCCTGATAGACTTAAATTCAGCAGGACCTACTTGGGTTAAATTAGAAAAAAAAAATATGATATATGGTAACAGTGATAATAGTGGGTAGAATACACTGTTTATTATACACCAGACAACCAGTGCTACATATTTAAGCTTCATAAGGATTCCGTGAGATAAATATCATTAACACCCCCATTATACAGATGAGAAAACTGAAGAATAGGTTGTTTCTGTTTTTTAACCTGCATCTTAATCACTTGAAACCACTTCTTCTGAGTTATCACTTAATTGCCAAGGCTTGAACCAAAGGCGTACACAGTGAGCAAGGACCCGCTGCTGAGCCACATCCAGCTGAGACCACTCGCAGATGCTCATTCTAGACGATTGTTTCACCCTACAGAGGACTGAAAGAGTTTGCCTTACATCCTTATGACTCCAGGGATGATCTCGACCACACAAGTTCCTATCATCAGCCACCATAAAGCCCAACTCATGATTCTGGAAACAAATCTGCCAAATGTAATTGATCACATTGTACCGCAGGCCACTTCATTTAATTACATGGGTGTACAATCCACAACTAAGTATTTAATACTTCACCCACATGCAAATGAAATTCTTTGATATGAAGATAAGTTGTTAACTATGAACTTAGAAATTTGTCATTATTCCCATGCTTCCTAGAATACAATTTTGAAGTCTTAGAAAAATTTCCCACAGAAAACCCTGGTCTGCCCCCAGGAATGGCCTGTGGTCAATCTACAGAGGTATGGCTGACCCTCAGTCAAGCTTCTGATGACTGATGGATGACCCTGGCTAGCTTCTTTTTTTATTAGTATGATTACATTTTAGTTACTTCTGTGCATGTAGGAGTGGGTGAGTGTGGACACATGGTGTGCATGTAGAGATCAAAGGACAGCCTGTAGGAGTCCATTCTCTCTTTCCACCGAGTGGATCCCAGGGATTGAACTCAGGTCTTCAGGCTTACCAGCAGGAACATTCACCTGCTGAGTTATCTCACTGGCTCCCTGACTTGGCCTCTTAATTTCTATAAAAGAATGCAGTCCTGTTCCTTCTCTTTAGATGACTTTTTAAATATACAGATGTCCTTAATGTATTATGCAAATAACTGCACTCAGGCAGGTCCCCTCCACAGAAAGTAACCCGGAGATACTCATTTTTGAAGACTGTATCTTACACTCTAGCCCAGGCTAGCTCATAATTCACTATGTTTCCCAGAATGGCTTTAAATTCTTGGCAATCCTCCTGCCCCAGCCTCCTGAATGTTAGAATTACAGGTATGAGTCACTACAGCTGGCAATTTTTAGGTTTTTTTTTTTTTTTCGTGGACCACCACACTGTTTTCCACAGCAGCCATACTATTTCCAGTTTCTGACAGTATTGCCCAAGCATCCAGATTTCACCATGTCCTTACCAGCACTTGTGACTGATAAGTCATTCTATGGGAATGAAGTAGTGTCGCCAGTAGTTAATATTTGCATTTTTTTTTTTTTTTTTACAAATTATACTTAACATTTGTGGACGTTTTCCCTGCATATGTATCTCTGGACAAGTGCATGCCTGGTGCCTGTGGCATGCCCAGCCACACATGGCACCTCTCTCATACCCCCTCTGCACAAAACTCAAGGACCATCGCTGAAGAAGGAGCCAGAGGCCAGTAAAGACTGGATCAAAAGAGTCTCTGGACACGACAGGACTATTGCACTTACGAACCCGCAGCAGCTGTGCCTGATGCCTAAGATGAGCCAGTGAACATCCCAGCCTGGAGGCGGAAGTCCCCCTCCCCCCTTGAGGAGCTACTGACAGCAGATGGCCTCTAGCAGGCTACGGGTCCTGAGGGGCTGATGCAACCTCACGAGCACCCGTCAGTACCTGGGCAGCACAAATTAAACTTGGCAGGTATTTTTTAATTTCACATGTATGAATGTTTTGCCTACATGTATGTCTCTATACCATGTTTGTATAGTGACCGAGGAGGTCAGAAGAGGCATCAGATCCCCAGGAACTGGAGTTATAGAAAGCTGTGAACCACCATGTGGGTGCTGGAAATCAAACCTATGTCCTCTGGAAGAGCAGCCAGTACACTTAACAACTGAGCTATCATGCCAGCCCCTTGGTGAGTTGTTGTTTTTTTTTTAAT